ATATGTATATATTAAAGAATTCTTCAAGCTTACAGGAACTTTTCCATGCATTAGTGAGACCTAAAAAAAAAGATTGTTTAAGCCATAGAATAGCTTTTTAACTTTATTTTTAGAAAAAGTTTACTTTCCTTATTGTATAATTTCTTTTAGGCCTGACTTACAGCCTTGTGCTAACCTTATGGTTGATGTTACCTATACCTATGAGTATGATTTAGATTATGAAATAGCTTTTTTGATATCTTAATCAAATGGAGTTGTATTTTGATTTATATAGTAGATTTATTTCTAAAGGGAGTTTTATGTGTGAATTAAACATTAAAAAAAAATATGGAACATGTTTAAATAAGCTTGCTGTTTAAAGGGGTGCTTTTGAAATTTATCGTGTATGTTTATACAGTATTTGCAAGTACTAACTAAAATTGATTTATTAGTTCATTTAGTAAAATCGAACAAAGAATAAATGAAGGGAAATGAGTAAAAGATTCTAAATACCTGGTCAAATATGGACTATACTATTTAGAATTTTTATTTAATTTTGGCAGACCCTAACACGTGAACAGAAAGAAGGAGCCTTCTCCAATTTCCCCATTTCTGAAGAGACTGTAAAACTTCTGAAAGGTACTCTGAATTTTAATGGATATGCGACTGAAAATATTCAATATTTTATAAAATTTTGTGCCTTTCCTAACAAAATGGGGAGTATTAAAAGCATAGAGAAACAGCTTTTCTTTAATTACAGTTAATGCGACATCATTCTTGTCAGTATTCTGACCAGTTTTTAACCTTACAGAATTACATGTATTTGTCAGAAGTTAGACAAGTGTTTTATAGTTTGTCTTTGGGTTAGGAATAACTGTAAATGTCACTAAGTGTTATACCTTTAGGTAGACATTGAGGAATCAGGATTATTTTTAAACATGTATTTTTTTCCTTAATGCCAGTCTTAAAGAAATATTTTAATGAAATCTCATTTTACAGGTCGAGGGGTAACATATCTCTTTCCCATTCAAGTTAAGACCTTTGGTCCTGTATATGAAGGAAAAGATTTAATTGCTCAAGCACGGACAGGAACAGGAAAGACATTCTCTTTTGCCATCCCCTTGATTGAAAGACTCCAAAGAAATCAAGAGACAATTAAAAAAAGCCGCTCACCAAAGGTAACCATTATAGGGAGTAAAGGCTTTAAACATTATTCTAATAGACAGGGAAAGAGAGTATATTAGTCTTAAGTTTGAATGCCTCTAAGATAGAAAAGTTAACCCTTTGGCATAAGGTAAAATTTGGGTCCTAAAGCAAAAATTTGTTAATTTTAGCATAAAGAAATCTCAAAGAAAGCTAAATTGAAGTAGTTATTGCATATGTGAATCCATAGACATCTCTGATAACTTTGTATATTTTGAAGCCAGCATATCATATTGTAGAAATATGGATAGCTAATATACTTAGTGTCCTTTGTCTTCTTTGTTCTTAGTCCTGGCCTTTGTTTTTAAACAATGAATAATTTGCTATTAAAAAGGTATTTATTTATTTATTTGGTCATTTAGGAAGTATTCAATATTAGTTATTTCACTGGTTGACTTTTAAGAATAGTAGTACGGAAATGATGTTGTTAGTTTCTGTATTATTGAAATGTTGAATATCTGTTCTCATTTATAATTAGTAAAGGACATAGGGGACCTGTTGTTAGGTGCTGTTGAGTTGGTTCCAACTCATAGCGACCCTATGTACAACAGAATGAAACACTGCCTGGTCCTTTGCCATCTTCACAATCGTTGTTATGCTTGAACCCGTCGTTGCAGCCACTGTGTCAATCCATCTCTCTGAGAGTCTTCCTCTTTTTCACTGACCCTCTACTTTACCAGGCATGATGTCCTTCTCCAGGGACTGGTCCCTCCTGATAACATATCCAAAGTACGTGAGATGAAGTCTTGCTATCCTTGCTTCTAATGAGCATTCTGGCTGTACTACTTTCAAGATAGATTTGTTTGTTCTTCTGGCAGTCCATGGTATATTCATTATCCTTTGCCAACACCATAATTCAAAGGCGTCAGTTCTTCTTTGGTCTTCCTTATTCATTGTCCAGCTTTCACATGCATATGAGGCGGTTGAAAACACCATGGCTTAGGTCAGGTGCACTAGGGGACCTAGTGAAATTTTAGACTAAAATTTGACCTTTTTAGAACCTGTGTTCAATCTGAGGTTTGTAAAATATTCATCTCTTTACGTTAGTTAAGAAAGGAAAATATCAGCATCATAATTTGAACAAATATGTGACTAAAACTAATTTGTTCTTTGAAAGACTCCCGAATGGTATTACAGTGAAACCTGTGGGAGCCAGAACTTGATGGGACTGCATTGTTTTTCCAGGTCTAGCAAGTTTTCTGCCTTTGACAGGGTGCAAGCTTACCACTTGTCTGTTACTTGTTTCAATGGAAAATATGAGTTTTCCTTCTCTGACAGGCTTCTGCCTTGCATATGTTCCAGCTATCACAGGTTTTACTGTACATTTTAAAAGCATATTCACATATGTGAATGTAAAATCATAATGGTCTTGAATAAACTATCCCAGATTAGGTTGGCCGTCTTGTTTTTCAGGACAAATCTTCTATGGAGATTAGAAATTAGAAAAGATTACAAGTATAGAAATAAAACACAATCTCAACACCATCTTAAAAAGCTTTTGTGTTAAAAAGATGTTACTAGGGATTCCAGCTTCATTATTTCTGTTTGATTCTGAACAAGACCGTTCGCTTCTCTAAGACTCAGGTTCCTCATCTATAAAATTGGGATGTAATGCCAACTTTTAGGGGTTTTGTGAGGATTAAATTAGATACATAAAGCAGTTAGTGGCTGGCACAGGGTGAACATTTGTTCATTTAACAAATATTTTTTGGGTATCTGTTATGTGTCAGACACTGAAATGCAAGGAATATAGTAAGCAAAACTGACATAAATCTCTGCCCTTGTGGAGCTGATACATTTTAGTAGGTGAGACAGACAAGAAGCAAATAAATGAAATACAAATATTTTATATGGTCTAAGTGCTAAGGAAACCCTGGTGGCATAGTGGTTAAGAGCTACAGCTGTTAACCGAAAGGTTGGCAGTTCGAATCCACCAGGTGCTCCTTGGAAACCCTATGGGGCAGTTCTGTTCTGTCCCATAGGGTTGCTATGAGTTGGAATCGACTCGACGGCAATGGGGGATAAGTGCTAAGGAGAAAAAAAATAAACCAAAAAGGGGGAGGATGTGAAAAAAGGGTTGGGAATCTCACTGAGAAAGTGGTTTTTGGAAAGAGGCCTGAAGGAAGTGAGGAAACATGCTAATAAATATAAGCTATTTGTGCTTGTTGGAGTCCCGAGATGGTGCAAATAGTTAACGTGCTCGGCTGCTAACCAGAATGTTGGAGATTGGAATCCACCCAGAGGTACCTTGGAAGAAAGCTTGGCAGTCATGTCCAAAAAAATCAGCCATTGAAAACCCTATGGATACAGTTCTACTCTGATACATGTGGGGTCACCATGAGTCAGAATTACTCGATGGCAACTGGTTATTATGCTTGTTGTTACTTGTGTGCGGCCTTTAAATACTTGTAATATTGATGTTGAAATTCCTTAGTTTTAAATGCATTTTAAAAACATCTTCTAGTTTGAATTCAGAAGTCTTTGGAAAATTATCTTCTTCTTTTTTTTTTTTAAATCTCTTGCTCAGGTACTCGTTTTGGCTCCAACAAGAGAACTGGCAAACCAGGTAGCCAAAGACTTCAAAGATATAACTAGGAAACTCAGCGTGGCATGTTTTTATGGTGGAACATCGTATCAAAGCCAAAGTGAGTAAATATGTATGATAGCTCAAAGAAGTACTTGCTTCTTAAATGTAAAGAAATAATATGAACATGTATATTTGAGTTTTACCTATTACTGATATTTCTTTGCTCTCACAGTTAATCATATTCGAAATGGTATTGACATCTTGGTTGGGACCCCTGGTCGTATCAAAGACCATCTGCAGAGTGGCCGATTGGATCTTTCTAAACTCCGTCATGTTGTGCTTGATGAAGTGGATCAAATGTTAGACTTAGGTTTTGCTGAACAAGTTGAAGATATTATCCACGAATCCTACAAAACTGGTATATTTTATTGTTGAACTTTAAGTGAAAGTTTACAATTCAAGTTAGTTTCTCATACAAAAATTTATACATACATTGTTATGTGACCCTAGTTGGTCTGTGTATACTGTGACAGCACAGTCCTCCTTTCCACCCCTGATTCCCCATGTCCATTCAACCAGCTCCTGACCCTCTCTACCTTCTCATCTCACCTCCAGACAGGAGCTGCCCATTTAGTCTCATGAAGAAGCACACGCTTCACGAGTATCACAAAACTGGCATATTTTCATTCAAAATAAGCACATCAGCAATTTTTCTGTCTAAAAGTTTGTGAATATTTTACTTAATGATTTTTATTACACTGTCCCCTAGTGTTCTAACAAAACTAAAATTATTTCATACCTGTTCTCCTTGTGAACAAGAAAGGAGGATAGCATACTTTAACTGTTTTCTGAGCTTTCTGTCCTTTCTTCCATGTGTTTTTTTAGAGTCATTAGTTAGATTTACTAACTCATTTTACTGACTTTGCTCATTATTCCTTTTTAAATTCTTACTGTCCTCCTGGGTTCAGTTTTCTTTATATTATTCCCTAATTTTGAAAGTTGAAAGCTTTAATAGTTGAAATGAAGTCTACATGTTCAAAATTCACCCTGAGTTTTTGATTTTCCATTATTTCTCTGAAGTTTGCGGGGATTTTTTAAGAGCTGGCTACATCGTGGGATGATAAGGTTTTTGAATTCTTTTTGTTTATTTAAGATTCTGAAGACAATCCTCAGACTTTACTTTTTTCTGCAACTTGCCCACAGTGGGTATACAAAGTTGCAAAAAAATACATGAAATCCAGATACGAACAGGTTGACCTTGTTGGGAAAATGACTCAAAAGGCTGCAACTACTGTGGAAGTAAGTAGCTTTCCAGCATGATACATTTTAGCTTGTAGTTGAGATTTACTTTTGAAGTTTGTTGAAGCCGAATTTAAGGTTTGGGTACCTGTTCAGGCCTAATCTCTTTTTTTTGTCCTTAGTCGATAAGATACCTATGTATGAGACTGAGGAGCAGAATAGAATAAATAGGGAAAAAAACAAAGTATGTGAATAGTCAAGTCCTAACAGACGTATAGAGCCCGGTGGTTCAGTGGCGAAGAGCTCAGCTGCTAAGCAAGAGGTCAGCAGATCAAATCCACCAGCTGCTCCTTGGAAACCCTGTGGGGCAGTTCTACTCTGTCGTACAGGGTTGCTATGAGTCGGAATTGACTCGACAGCAATGGGTTTGGTTAACAGACATATTTACAACCATGGAGGCTGTTAAGGTATTTAGAATGTGAGAAAGGAGGCAATTCATGTAGATTAGGAAAGGATGATGCTGGGATAATTTGTTAAAGCTTAGCTGAAAAAAAAGTCAGATCCTCATCTCGTACTCTATACCAAAAAAATTCCAGAAAGATTAAAAAAGTTAAATCTTAAAATAATTTAAAGGAAATGTAGATGAATATTTACTTGATTTCAGGAAAGAGAAGACCTTTCTAAACATAAAGTCAGAGGAAAAAACCTTAAAGGAAAAGGTTGATAATTTTGACTCCATGAAAATTTTAAATTGTTAAATTGTATGTTAAAAAAAATTAAAGGCAGTATTTGCACTATTATAATAGATGTGTAGCGTATATGCCACTTTTTCCATTTAATAGATGTACGTATATGTATACATACGAAAAATTGAAAGTTTAATGAACAGTAGTGTCTGTGGAATACAGTGCAGTGGTTAAAAAGAGTGAAAAGAACAAGCTATAGAATAATATGTACAGAATCATATATTTTTTTAAAAAATGCACAAGTAATGCTAAATGGATGCCTTTCCTAACCAAATGGAGAATATGAAGAGCATAGAGAAATAGCTATGTCTTTTGATTGCTGAATACTGTCCAGTGTATGAATATACTGCAATTTGTTTATCCCTTTCATTTATTGATGGGCATTAGGTATTTATGTAAATATACAAAAATAGGTTTATCAAATTGATAATAATGATTGCTTCTGGCAAGGGGACTGTTTTAGTGAGGGATGGTCAGAAGAAGCTTTGGATTTTTTGGAATGGTTGAAAATTTTATAATAAGAATGTAAAATGTATCAGTGCAAGAAAATTTATTATGGACATTTTCAAGCATACAAAAATAGAATATAAGGAACCTGATGTACTCATCACTAGACTGTAGCAATTATCTTTTCTATACCCCCCCGTACATTCCTCACTCTGCATTGAAGCATTCCCAGTCATCCTTTTTTCTTCATGTAACTGCATGTATTTCTAAAAGGATTAGGACTCTTAAAAAATAAAACAACTACAGTCATTATCACAGTAGAAAAAAATTATAAGTACTTAATATTATCAAATATCTAATGTGCATATTACCCTGGTTGTCTTTTTTTTTTTTTAATTGTTTGAATTTGGATCCAAATAAGATCCTTACATTGCCACTGGTTGATATGCATCTTAATCCTTTTAATCAATAGATTCCTCAATCTCTTTTTCTCACTTGCAGTTTTGTTGAAAAAAACTGGTAGTTTGTCTGATGAATTTCCACGTCTCAATTTTGCTGATTTCATTTATTGACGAAATAAATGAAAATTAATTTTATGAAACTTAATTCAAAAAATTGTGAACATCATATGGATGAACTTCAGAAACATTATGCTAAGTGAAACAAACCAGATAAAAACGATAACATACTATATAATTCCATTTATACATTATATCCAGAATAGGTACATCCATCCCTGTGGTGTTATTTAACATGTTCTTCTGTCTCATTTTTCCTGCAAGTTGGAGACTGAGAGGCTTGTGTTTTTGGCGGGCAGTGGGTGGCGGGGAGCAAGACTTTGTCATAGGTAGTACACATAAGTCTTAATTTTCTTGTGCTTTTCTCTGGTTTTCAGATATTCTGTAATTAATATATGTTACTTTTAAAAAACAATCTTATTAAGACATAATATACATTAAAATGCACAGATTTAAAATGTACGGTTTTAATTTTTTTCCCAACATTTTGTCAGGAAAAGTGGGAAACATTCAGCAAAGTTAAAAGAATTTTACAGTGAGCACTTATATACACACCATCTAGATGCTACCATTAACATTTTACTATATTTGATTTATCATATGTCTATACATCATTTTTTTTGATGTATTTCAAAGTAAATTGTAGAAATCAGTATACTTTCCCATAAGTGTTTTAGCATGTATATCAATCTACAGCTCAGTATTTGCAATTTAAAAAATCTTTATTTTTTGTAATTTTTTTAATTGAGGTAAAATTCATATAAAATTAACCATTTTAAAGTATACAATTCAGTAGCATTTAGTATATTTGCAGTGTTGTACAACTATCACTTCTATTTAGTTTCAAAACATTTTCCTTACCCCTAAAGGAAACCTCATACTCATAGAGCAGATACTCCCCCTTGTCCCTAGCAACCACTAATCTGCTTTCAGTCTCCATGGATTTAGCTATTCTGGATATTTTGTACAAATGGAATTATACAGTAGATTATCTTTGTATCTGGCTTCTTTCACTTAGCATATTGTTTTTTTTTCTTCCATTTTTAATGATTTGCATGCTTATTCAAATTATATACAGATAATGTGCATATATTCAAACATAGATATGGGTAAAATTCACTTTAAAAAAATTTTTTTTTTTGTGCATTTGGTCAAAGTTTACAGAGCACATTAGTTTCCCGTTTGATATTTTGTCATAAAGTGTTTCATGACCTTGATTTCATTCCTCACAATATGTCAGCACTCCCCATTTCTACCCTGGGTTCCCCATTTTCTTTCGTCCTGATTGTCTACCTCTTCCTGCCTTCTCATCATTGCTCTTGGGCAGATAATGCCCTTTTGATCTTGTATAATTGATTGTTCTAAGGAGTACGTTCCCCTTGGGTGTTATTAGCTTATGTGCTTGTCTATTGTTTGGCTGGGAGGTGGTCTCTGGGAATGGCTTCAGTTCCAATTCAGAAGGGTGTCTTAGGGCCATCATCTTGGGGGTTCCTGCATTCTCTGTCAGACCAGTAAGTTTGGTCTCTTTTGTGAATTTGATTTTTTTTGTTCTACAGTTTTCTCCCACTCTGTCCAGACTCTCTGTTGTGATCCCAGTCAGAGCAGTTGATAGTGGTACCTGGGTACCATCTAGTTCTTCTGGTCTTGAGGTCATGTAGGCTGTGGTTTATGTGCTCCATTAGTCCTTTGGACTAATTGCTCCCTTGAGTGTTTGGTTTTCCTCACTCTCCTTTGCTCCAGATTGAAAGAGACCAATAGTGGTATCTTAGATGGCTGCTCACAAGCTTTTACGATTCTAGACACTACTTACCAAAATAGGATGCAGAACATTGTCTTTATGTATTATGTTGTGCCAGTTGATGTAGATGTCCCCTGAATCTATGGTCCTTTGTCTTTCAGCCTAGGAACTTCATCCCGCGAGGTGTTTGGTTATGTCTAAGAGGTTTCCCTGACTATACCCCTTGTGTACTCTATGTGAGCCTGCACCTACAGTCATGTATGTAGAAATATTAGCATAATGTTTTTTAGGTTCAGCCATGTACTGTTAACAGTTTTTTGAAGTAAGTTTCATACAACTAAATGAAGAATCTTAAGTGTACATTTGCTAGGTTTTGACAAATTCATACATTTGTGTAACCCAAACAAACTCCTGTCAAGATAGAGTATTACCATTATCTCAGAAAGTTCCCTTATGCTCCTTCCCAATCAGTAACCCCATCCAGAGGCAACCATTGCTCTCTTTTTTTTTTTCCAACATAGATTAGTTTTGCATGTTCTAGAACTTCATATAAATGGAATCATACTGTATGTACTCTATTGTTGTATGTGTAAGGAGTTGGTTCCTTTTAATTGCTGAATACTGTCCATTGTATGAATACACTACAATTTGTTTATCCTTTTGTGTATTGATGGACATTTGTATATTGCCTTTCAAATGGGGAGAGTTGCTATCTTATAGTTTCCTAGGAAAGCTAGTTTTGACCAGATTAAAAAAAAATGTACAGGAAAAATATTTTAAAAATAAATTTAATGAAACAGATACTTGACATTTTCTTTCGTCAAAGCACTTGGCCATCCAGTGCCATTGGTCTCAGAGGCCAGCAGTTATTGGAGATGTCCTGCAAGTCTATAGTGGATCTGAAGGGAGGGCTATTATCTTCTGTGAAACCAAGAAGAATGTAACTGAAATGGCCATGAATCCGCACATAAAACAGGTAATTTTTTTTTTGTGTGTGTGTGTTTTCTCTAATAGAGATTATAGAGATGAATTACTGAACAAATATCATATTGTCTTGTGGACTGGGTTTGATAGTCATTCTCAGAATTGAGTCTAATTTAGAAAGTTGTTGTTGTAGCCAGTCCCTCATGATCTGTTAAGTCTGGATACAATTGTCAGTTTTCATTGGATGCTTTTTCAAAACTTTGAAAATGTGATCTTGAAAATATAAAGGTTGAAACAAAATGAGATTCTGTGGGTATGAGTGGGTGATATGGGTGATATTTTAGAGTCTGTGTTAGAAAAAGAATCACAAATACTTATTCAGTGAATTGATCAGAATATTAAATCTATGTCTTTTTTCTTTTTTAAAAATTTATAGAAAATTTCAAACATATACAAAAGTCTACAAAATATATCTTCATTCACCAACTTCAGCACTTATCCTCTCCTCTCCCGTATTTTGTCACTTTCTCATATCTGTATGAGAAAATATTTCATTTAAAAAAAAATTTTATTATGTTTTAGGTGAAAGATTATAGCGCAAATTAGTTTTTCATTCAAAAATTTATACACAAATTGTTTTATGACATTGGTTGCAATCCCTGCAATGTGCCAACACTCTCTCCCTTTCCCTTTCTACCCTGGGTTCCCCTTTCCCTTTCTGCTTTGATAGTGCCCATTTGGTCTCATATACTTGATTGAACTAAGAAGCACGTTCCTCATGTGTGTTATTGTTTGTTTTATTGGCTTGTCGAATCTTTGGCTGAAAGGTAGACTTTAGTAGTGGCTTCAGTTCTGAGTTAGCAGGGTGTCTGGGAGCCATAGTCTCGAGGTTCCAGTCTCTGTCAGACCAGTAAAACTGGTATTTTTTTGTGAATTTGAATTTCGTTCCACGTTTTTCTTCCACTCTGTCCAGGACCTTCTATTGTGATCTCTGTCAGAGCAGTTGGTGGTGGTAGTCAGGCACCATCTAGTTCTTCTGTGCTCAGGCTGTTGGAGGCTGTGGTTCATGTGGTCCGTTAGACCTTTGGACTAGTATTTTCCTTTGTCTTTGTTTTTCTTCATTCTCCTTTGCTCCAGATGGAATGAGACCAATAGATGGCCGCTTGTAAGCTTTTAAGACCCCAGACGCTGCTCGCCAAAGTAGGATGTAGAACCTTTCTTTCTGAACTATGTTATGCCAGTTGACCTAGATGTCTCCCAAGATCATGGTCCCCAGCCCTCGGCCCCAGTAACTTGGTCCCTCAAGGTGTTTGAATGTGTCTAGGAAGCTTCTATGACTTTGCCTCGGTCAAGTTGTGCTGCCTTCCCCTATGCTGTGTGTTGTCTTTCCCGTCACCGAAGTTACCCCTTGTCTACTATCTATGATTTCCCTTCTCCACCCCTCCACCCCTTGTAATCATCAAAGATTTTTTTTCCGTGTGTAAACCTTGTTTTTTTTATAATAGTGATCTCATGGAATATTTGTCTTTTTGTGATTGACTTATTTCACTCAGCAGTGCCCTCAAGATTCATCCATGTTGTGAGATGTTTCATGGATTCATCATTGTTCTTTATTGTTGCATAGTATTCCATTGTGTGTATGTACCATAATTTGTTTATCCATTCATTTGTTAATGGGCACTTAGGTTGTTTCCATCTTTATGCTATTGTGAATAATGCTGCGGTGAACATGGGTGTGCGTATGTCTAGTTGTGTGACGGCTCTTATTTCTCTAGGATATACTGCTAGGAGTGGGATTGCTGGATCTTATGGTATTTCTCTCTCTAGCTTTTTAAGGAAGCACCATATAGTTTTCTATAGTGGTTATACCATTTTACATTCCCACCGGCAGTGCATAAGAGTTCCAGTCTCCCTGCACCCTCACCAACTTTTGTTATTTTCTGTTTTTTTATTAGTGCTAGTAATGTCGGGGTCAGATGGTATCTCATGGTAGTTTTGATTTGCATTTCTCTAATGGCTGATGATTGTGAGCATTTCCTCAAGTGTCTGTTAGCTGCCAGTGTATGTGTTCATATCCTTTGCCCATTTTTTAATTAGATTATTTGTCTTTTTGTTGTTGGTGTTGAAGTATTTTATAGATTTTAGAGATTAGACCTTTGTCAGATATGTCATAGCCAAAAATTTTTTCCCAGTCTGTGGGTTCTTATATTTCTCTTTTGGTGAAGTCTTTTGATGAGCAGAAGTGTTTAATTTTTAGGAGCTCCCAGTTATCTACTTTGTCTTCTGGAGTTTGTGCATTGTTAGTTATAGTTTGTATTGTATTTATGCCATGTATTAGGGCCCCTAGCATTGTCCCTATTTTTTCTTCCATGATCTTTATCGTTTAGGTTTTATATTCAGGTCTTTGATCCATTTTGAGTTAGTTTTTGTGTATGGTGTAAGGTATGGGTCCTATTTCATTTTTTTATAGATGGACATCCAGTTTTTCATGTTTTCTTTTGTTCAGTTTTTCAAAATTTCTCATTTTAAGGCATTGTCTATTGTCAATATGTTAGGGATTGAATTGTGTCCCCAAAAATGTGTGTCCATTTAGCTAGACCATGATTCCCAGTATTGTGTGGTTGTCCACCGTTTTGTAATCTGATGTGATTATCCTACATGTTGTAAATCCTAACCTCTCTGATGTTAGTGAGGCAGGATTAGAGACAGTTATGTTAATGAGGCAGGACTCAATCTACAGAATTAAGCTGTCTCTTGAGTGAATCTCTTTTGAGATATAAAAGAGAAAATTGCCACCAAGAAAGCACTGGGAGCAGAGTGTCCTTTGGACCCTGTGCTGAAAAGCTCCTAGACAAGGGGAAGACTGATGACAAGGGCCTTCTCCCAGAACCGACAAAGACAGAAAGCCTTCCCCTGGAGCTGGCACCCTGAATTCGGACTTCTAGCCTCCCACACTGTGAGAGAATAAATTTGTTAAAGCCACCCACTTGTGGTATTTTTATTATAGTGGCACTAGGTAACTAAGGCAAATGTTATATTCCTTCTAGTATAGTCTTCATTTATGAAAAGCTTTTATGTCTTAGTTCTGTTTCTTTCTTGAGCTATATCACCTTTTTAGTTTTTATAACTCTGATGTTTATTCTTTCATATACTATTTAAAAAACTTTTTTTTAGCTCATTTTGAAATATAAAGCTGTATTTTTCATCTGTTTTGTGGGCATGCCTTCCTAGAGTGCTTTCATTATCTATAGAGAGATTATTTTGCTTCTTATTTTTTTTTTTCCTCCTAATTACTTTGTATCATATTTGTCCGTAGTCTTTTCTGTTGCTCATTTTTAAGTGAAGTTAATCTTTCTGAACTTTAGATGGGAGGCATGGGTCAGAATAGTTTTTCATCTTCACAGCTCTAGAGCTTCCTCTTCTGTTATTTTTGTCAGTATTTAAAAATATGATCTGTAAGTTATATCTCAATAAAGCTGTTAAATTTATAGTCTCCCACTTTCTGAATTCCTGCTGTCTCCTCCCTCACTTTTATCTTGATCTTCTCTTTCCTTTGCTTCTGTTATTCCTGGCATCTTCAGTTTGGATTCTAGGCCCAGCACTGTCTCCTCAGTGTAGGGCTTTATCCTAGAAAGAGGGCATTAGTGTATTAGTTTTTAAAGTTCCTATAGGACTCAGCCTGCTCCAGCCCCTTCAGACCTTACCTCGGGCTCCTCACAATCACCCTTCAACGTGCAAAACCTCTCCCAGCTTCAACTGTTATTCCCAGATTGGCCCATTATGATTTCCAGGGAGTACTTGTTCCTAGGACTGGCAAATTGTCCCCATAAGTATAGATCTTGTCCCCACCTGCTCATGTTTTGGGAATTGTGAGGATATCTTGTCACTTAGTTTTGTCATAGGTGTTATCTGTGGGTTTTTAGTTTTGTTATTCTAGTTGCTCTGTTCCTTTCATGTGGGAGTTGATTCAAAAACTATGCTGTCACCATCTTCCGCTGTCATTTCAACTAAATTGTGTAGTGTTAGCTTTGATTTTTAAAATGTCCAGTATAAACATACAGACCCTAAATAGCATTGGAGGGTAGTTGATTTACCTTTCCTGGCATTATATTAGACCTCTCAGCAGCAGCTGTCTTGCAGAAGCTATTGCTTTATCTCAAAGGGAGGAACTGCCTTCCTGCAAAGGCTAAGGGAGTATTTCCCTCAGTGGGTGGTCATCAGTTTCTATGGTTGGAGGTAATAGAATTTCTCCTCAGCTGGGTGTTTGTCTGCTGTTTAGTTGGAAAGTAGCAGTAGCATCTCATAGGTGATAAGAGATTTTATGGACTAACCAGAAAACTTTAATGGTTAGTTTTTGTTTTTTAATTTAAATTTAATGTTTTAAGGTCAGGTTTTACCTCTTCTGAGAAAAATACCTTCTAAATTCTAAACAATTACACACACACACTTACTTTGGAAAACAGTTTATTCATACGTTAAAGACTTGGAAACCATCACTGGTATTGTGAGTGTATTATTCCCTCTGAGGACTAATTATCAAGTAAAAAATCTGTTGTGTCGAGTTTTTTTTTAAGTGAATTTAAAAAATTCACTGTGAAGAACTGTTTATTTAAAGTATGTTTGCTTATGACTTAATTTTTTTTTTCTCTTAACTTGGGTTCCATGATACCACACAGGTTTTCTTCCCAGTTTCTGTTGAAGTCTTTTTGTATTTTTGCCTGTACTTTAAATACTGGTATTCCTCATAGTTGTGATTTCTGTACTTAACTCTTATCACTCTACATACCCTTCCTGGTAGGGGAAAAAAGAGTGCCATGATTAATGGTACAGACTTTGGAGTCAGGCATATCAGGGTTTAAATCTCAGTTATGTTATTTATTGTGTAATCTTGGGCAAGTCACCTCATACTTATGTGCCCATGTTTTTTTAAGAAGTGGAATTAAAAATAACTTTTTTAAATATCAGTTTTAATATTTAAATGAAATCATTTATTCAGCACAATGCTTGTAGTAAGCAGCTAATATAGAAATACAGAAGTATAGCTATGGATAT